GTGGACGGGGGTGCGGAGAAATTACAAGTGTTATTTTTAAAGCATTACACAATAGGAAGAGTCACAGAATCCATCACCTGAGTGCTAGCATGCAGGGTCTCATATGCAATATTGCTTCCATGTTTTGGAAGCATTATTTAATTAAAAGCAAATAAAAAACCTTTTCTTCAGTCATGCTACATGCCTCTCTGGCTGATGAACAAATCATTATAAGCAATGGCTTCAGTCTGCTTTTTAATATATTTACATTTTAGTACATGCTTCAATTACATTTTGTTAATGCACAGACCAAGTTAATCAAAGGCACTAATTTTACTAGGTTATCCAGGTTGCTCCACAGATTGTTACTTGCACAGGAATTGGATTGAATTTCTGGTTAAAAGGAGAAACCATTTTAGCAATGACTGTTTTGGAGCTTGGAACATCCTGAACATGTTGGTTTTATGTCACCCTTTTAAGAAAGACTGAAATGTACTAAGTTGAATTAGAGGCTTTTAAAAATTAGTTTAGCTCCAATTTATGTTGAAGCTAGCTTTAATCCAAGGTTTTAAAAAGGTAAAAAAGCTTCCGATTTATTCTTAAAACAATCGGCATTAATCCAATAAGCATAAATTATTATGATCATAAGAATAACCAAGCACATAAAAAGGATGCTATAGAGTAACCAAACATTTTAATAGCTTTACAGGAAATTATATAGTGGCTTCTCAATGGCAGAATAAGTTAACATTGTATTCAAAAGGCTGTTTTTTTGTTTACTAGTAAAATCTCTCTCTCAACAATTAGTCAGAAAGCAGTAAACGCAGCAACCAAACCTACAGGGAATAACAAACAACAGCAAGAAAATAGCAGGTCAGGAAAGGATTATCTGCAGCTATGAGAATTCAGTACTGCTTGCGATATAACAACACTACTATTTCCAAAAGCATACAGTTAAAAAAAAAAAAAAAAGAGAGCTATAATCTGGGAAGGTTTTCCTGAGGTGTTCGACATCCTCAAGCAGAAAAGGATAAGAGACTTCTAAGGAGCAGCTTCCTGGTCACAGAGAAGTTCAAGTTCAAATAGTTTTCTACTACTAAATAAAAACAGGTATGATAGTTAATTGCCTTGGCATATATGCAATCTTAAAATCGGCACTTGCATTGCTTGCAAAATATTACCCATGCTAGTTTTAATGCATTGAACTACAGAAAACAGATTGATTTATATTAAAATAAAGGCGATTTTCAGTAAGCCACACAGCTTTCAGTGTTAAAAAGAGATGCTATTTAAAAAGCCTTTTACTCCCCCACTAGCTTGCTTAAATTTCTGCCAGCTGTTTATTCGCAGGATGGTCCTCTGTTGTGGAATTGCAGGTCCCCTGTGGCCAAACCCAAGAAGCTGGCTGCTAGGTGATGCTTGCGAGTTTATTGAAGTGACAGAATACTGTCTGAATTGAAGAGTCTTTTTTTTTTTTTTTTAAATCTAAAAAGTGTTTAAAAATGTGCGTTTTCCCCAAGTATTGTACATCCCTGCTTATGCTAAATCCAGTGGAGAAGTGAGACAATATTCTACTTCCATACTTTCCCCCCTACCCCCACCAAGAACAAACAAGTGTCTAAATGATATCCAAAGTAAAGAACAGTCTCAGGTACAAAAGTTAAAAAGAGCCATTCATTGCTAGAAAGAGGATGACCAGAATGTGAATGTATAACATGTTCAAATACAGAGGGGCAACTCTGCCCTGCTTGTGTTCAAGTATGACATCCTTTTGCCCAATCCCTCCCCCCACAGTTTAGTTAAATAATAATATTCTACTCTAATCTCTCCCCATATCCTCTAAAGAATGTATGCATTCATAACCCTTATACAATACAAGCCAGCAATCCCTTATTATTTATACTTCTGGCTGAAAACCACAATGCAAGCAAAATAAAATTTGCAAGGATAGACAGGTTGAAGGGGCATTTCTCCCACTCAGAGCCAAATTCTGCAGCCTTGCAATACATAGAATTGCAATGGACATCCACACACTCTTCTGGTCCTAGATGCAACAAACAGAGTAAAACAGTGTAAAAAGGGGTCATTTGGGTTCTTTAGCCCTCTAGCATGGGAAACACACACACACACACACACACACACACACACACACACACACACACACACACACACACACACACACACACGATCAGATATTCTGGTACCAAGATATCTTTCTTGCTATCATTAGAACTGAGTATCACAGAAACCATCACAATTAGCAACATTCTTTTACAGATGCCAGCTCTTACACCCTTGTTTCTTTCTAAATTCTGGGAATTGGGTTTACTTCCAACATTAACACTTTGTTTTGCTGCAAAGATTTACACTGCAACTTTTAAACAGGAAGTGGTGTGGTTGCCTGGTTACATACCACTATTTCCTGGAGGATGACACGCCACCCCTGCAACTCTGTGGAGAGCACATTAATGAATCCCCACTACACGCTTCCAAAGGATTCAACTCAAAGACCAGCAGAGCCTATGGAGAATTTGGATTTCAAGTACTGCTTTGCTGAGGGGTCAGCCAAAGACTTGGGGAGGGGAAGAAAAAAAAAAAAAGAAAAAAGAGACATCTCTAGAAATGTTCTTTCCTGCTATTTTAACAGTTTAGGGCCCATCTAGAATTGTCTGCATCTCCTACCTACTTTTTTTCCTCTCTGCTCTCCTCATGGTAATAAATCTTGTTTTAGGCAAGAGCTGAGGGGTCTTAAGAGTGTTTCTAGGAAGCTTCCACAGAGCCAGGGTACATAAATAAGTTCTTGGCTGCTGCAGAAATGTAATGAAGGAAGAATCCTGAAAGCTAAGCTCACATGAGATCCTTGGCTGAAGTAGGAGATATCAAGGCTCTTTCCCATAGGTCAAGATCAGTGCCAGGGCTGTAAACAGTATGGCCCATAGGAAACAGAAGTTGTACTACACACAAGTTAACACACTAAACTACATGGCTACAGACACAACTGAAGATGCTATTATGGAAGTAGTCGGGTTCACTAACCCAGAGGTAGGTGAAATGGAATTAAATGGAAGCCTGATGAAGGAGGAGGCTTCCATGCGAGACGTTGTGCTATCCCACTGAGATGACAAACCCCGAATTCAAGACACCATTAACAAATCTGGGCAGTGTGTTATGACTGAAACTTGGCCAAGTGGCAGAAGCTCAAACAGCTAAAAAAAACAAACAAAAAAACCACAACAACAAACCCAACAAAAATACTAATATGTTTAGTATATACAAAAGCTAAATGATAAAGAGTGTTAGCTTTCTACTTTTAGGCCTAATTCTGGAAACATTTTATGAATATAAATTATAATTGGTCAAATATATAGAATCAAGTGAATACTGTATTTACTCGCATGTAAAAGAGGACCCTGAATGCAAGGTGACCCCCCCAGTAATTCAATTCTATATGGAAAGGTTATAAATCTAATTATAGAAAGTTTGTCTTAAATTTTGTCCTCCTCCCACTGCTACAGCATGGAAAATAAATCTGGAAGGGAGGAAGGGGGGGTTCAGGTGCCCCCCTAGCTCCTTGCCCCCCTCCTCCGACTCTCAGATACTGCTCTGCCTGAGCACACAGAAGCAAGAGGCAAGTTTAAAAACACTAACCTTAAAATAAACATGTGTATAGTAATTTAGTTCATCCAGAATTGATACATTTTACCTTTTTTGAAACTGCTGAGTTTTAGCACAGGTACTCCATAAACATGCTTTTAAGCAGCACTTTTGTACCTACTTATATATAGTACAACCTATGCATGATATTAGTCCAAAGCCAAAAGGCTCATGATTTACCCTACAGTTCACTGGGATGGGCCCCAGCAGAGGGAACAGTGTTTCAAACCAGGGTGACCCCATAGCTCAGAACTGCCCCGTATGTATGTGTACTCCAGACATCATCACCCCCCACCCCAGAAAGATCCATGTGCCAATTAGTCCCCCACTCATGACTGGAATTGGGTATTTGTTTCACAAGCCCTGGGATCCTTCAACAATGTACATGCAGATATGGTGCAGGGCAACCTTGACCAGCTCCTCATTAATCATACGCAACAAGCTGACAGAAGGGGCGACAGAGGGATTCTGGGTGAATTGTTTGGGGCCCTGCTTGGTGATGTCTGCCAGACATTTCAGGCTGGTGAAGAAACAGGAATAATTGGAAATGGGAAAGAAATGCGCAGCTCAGCTGTGGGACTGAAGAAGCAGTAAAAAAGTATGCAATGTAGCAGCTCACCATGACTTAAAAAAAAAAAAAAAGTGCTGAGGGGGACTGAGTGCAAATGGGCACTACCATATATTTTATTCAGAGGGGCTGTACTAACTTATGGGTTGCACTGGCAATTCTTGTGGTAGGTTCTTGGCCTTGTGGCTCATATCAAGCCTCTTGTGGGCTAAGATCAAGTAGGGGAATTCGAATCCCAAGACCTCTGGGCTTAGGCCTGCACATAGGATGCCTGCCAATGGATTTGGGACTATCTGAAGTCCCAGGGCGAGAGCCTGGGACAGAGGATGCTTGCCGGTTTGTAGCGCCATATGTGGTGTTTAGAACTATTGAGTTCTGCTCAATCATTCTGATTTGGACGATTTGACCTGAAACACAAAATATATTAATAAAAATAAATAAATAAAAAAAACTTAAAAAAAAACTGCCCAACAGTGTGTTTACCCATTATGGGCCATGTGTTTTACAGTCATGCTCAGTGTTGGCTGCATTTAAATGATCTTTATAGTTGGTTTCCATTACTAAGCACATGTTGCTTTTGGCAGCAGTTTAATGATAGACAATGTATTTAATGAGGTTTCCTTGTATGCGAATGTAAGATAAGGAGCTTTTTCCCTACGATGATTTAGGGGAGATATTTATTTGAATACAAGATTAATTTGGAAATATTTGCAGGATCAGTTCCTTAGATGACTGTGTTAGATATGTTGT